CTGAGTGCAGTGCCCCCAGCCCAGCCCCCACCGGAAAGAGCCTGGCACAGCCCCTGCCCCAGTGGCAGCCACCCCATGCAGATCTGGGGGCACACGCCCCTTCCCATGCCATCCCGGGGTGCACTAAGCAGCAGGAGCCACCCCGCCTTCCCCGCGCCCTCCAGATGAGCCTCAGCTCCATCCCACGCCTCGCCCTGGCTGGGCAGCACTTGCCCTAACTCCTGCCCCAGCCCCACTCCTTCCCTCACCTCAGGGGGCCTTGATCTGCCCCCTCACATCCCTTCCCTTCCCCTTCCCTTTCCACCACAACAGACTTATGCATGAAGCTCTCTGTGCTGTATTAGAAATCGGATCGGAATCAGTCGATATGCCTCCTTAAAAATCGGCTATTGGTATCATCCCCAAAAATCGCTATCAGTATACCCCTAGTAATAATTACAAATTCATCCATTAACACAATTAAAGATGACCTAAAAGAATGCTGTCATGCAGCATTTATAGTGATCTGTAGGTATGCAGAATCAGTTTTAAATCTTTTTTTTTTTTTATGTTTTAAAAGTAGATTTGCTGCATCAAAGCAGCTATGCCACACTGTGTGGTTTGTTCATTTATTTATGTATATCTGTTTTGATTCTCCAGAGGAGCACAAAGCAACTGAGCTGTACTGGTGAATCTAGCTAGTACTTTGTAGTTGACATAATGCTTTTATGGTGCTGTAGGAAGAGGGGCCAAGGGAGGCCTCATTATTGAACATTTGGACACATGCAATACATTTACTACATAGTAAATTGCGTTTGCTGCATTGTGAAAGGGGAGTGAACACACAAAACACAGTCCTACTACATAGTAAATCGCTTGGATCCAGGGTAAAATTACCCCTTGAAACAATGTGCATTGATTTTACTAAAATACTACACAGAAGGTGTGCCTGCTGCCCAGTCATTTTCATCCTGAGGTAGCTGTTTGCTTAGTGCAGACTGATTTTCCTGCCTCTCATTGGCCAGGCTCTGTAAAATCACACTTAACTGTGCACTGCCATCTTAGGGGAGCTCTGTGTCTGCATCGTACTGCCAACAAAACATTAAAATGTGAGGTAAATTACTCCATAGTAACCGTATCATAAGTCCATACCCTGTGTCTTAGTATCTTTGAACCTTAAGGATGACTGCTATGCTCTTGCCTTTGTTCCTTCAGCAGTGCTTCTTGATTGATACTTCATAGAGCTGTGGTAGTAGAGTCCTGGGGAACCTTTGAGATACTGATGTTCAGTATAGTACAGGGCCATGGAATATTTTAAGAAACAATGACAAACTGGGTCAAGTATCTGGCAAATCAGAAGTATTTATCCAACTCGTAAGGCTTAATGAATGGACTGTAAGGTGGGTAGAAAACTGGCAGGAGCATCAGGCTCAAAGAGTAGTAATCAATGGCTCAATGTCTAGTTGGCAGCCGGTATCAAGTGGAATCCCCCAGGGGTGGGTCCTGGGGCTGGTTTTGTTCAATGTTTTCATCAACAACTTGGAAGATGGCATAGAGTGCACCCTCAGCAAGTTTGCAGATGACACCAAGCTGGGGGGAGTAGTAGATATGCTGGAGGATAGAGCTAGGATTCAGAGTGACCTAGACAAATTGGAGGATTGGGCCAAAAGAAATCTTATGAGGTTCAACAAGGACAAGTGCAAAGTCCTGTACTTAGGATGGAACAACTTCATGCACTGGTACAGGCTGGGGGCTGACTGGCTGGGCAGCAGCTCTGCAGAAAAGGATCTGGGGGTTAAAGTGGACAAGAAGCTGAATATGAGGCATCAGTGTGCCCTTGTTGCCAAGAGGGCTAGCAGCATCCTGGACTGAATTGGTAGGTGTGTTGCTAGCAGGGCAAGGGAAGTGATTATACCCTTCTATTCTGCACTGGTGATGCCACATCTGGAGTACTGTGTTCAGTATTGGGCCCCACAATACAGAAAGGATGTGGACAAATTGGAGAGAGTCCAGCAGAGTACAAAAATGGTGAGGGGGCTGGGAGACATGACTTCTGAGGAGAGGCTGAGGGAACTGGGCTTATTTAGTCTAGAGAAGAGAAGACTGAGGGGGGATTTAATAGCAGCCTTCAAGTACCTGAAGGGTGATTCAAAAGAGGATGGAGCTGGACTGTTCTCAGTGATGACAGATGATAGAACAAGGAGCAATGTTCTCAAGTTGCAGCAAGGAAAGTTTAGGTTATATATTAGGAAGAATTTTCTCACTAGGACGGTAGTAAAATACTGGAACAGGTTATCCAGAGAGGTGGTGTTTGGAGGTTTTTAAGATCTAGCTAGATATAGCTAGGCAGGGATGATGTAGTTAGGGGGCTTTGAGCAGGGTATTGGACTAGATGACCTCCTGAGGTCCTTTCCAGCCTTCATTTTCTATGATTCAAGATAAACATCCAGGAGATTGACCCATTTTAACTAATATAATTGGTACATGTCAGGAAGCTGTAAAAGGAGGGGAATAGTAGGATAGCATTGGTTGCGTAGTTGTACAGGTAAGATAGTACACTGTTGAGCCTGGTATAAGAACCTATACATAATA